GACGTTCAAAGATTTGATCTCCGAGCCGGGGGTCTACAGGTCTGAACAAGTTTTTAACGTGGACGAAATGGGTCTGTTCTGGAAAAGGATGCCACCTCGCACTTTTATTATGAAGGACAAAGCCAAAGTGCCTGGTTTCATCGCATCTTCATCACCTTCATCGTCATCACTGGACAGCTAATTCTTCATCTCCATTTTGTCTTCATCTTCTCTGGTGAGTACCCATTTAAAATTAATATTTTTAAAGGTTTAAGAATTTAGAAAATTGTTAGGAACATTGCAAAAGTGTGGGAAGGGCTTAAAGCGCCAGTTTATACCTGTATATGAATACTAAAATAAACTACTACTTACTACTAATTACTACTTACTACTACTACTTACTACTACTACTACAACTACTACTACAATTACTACTACTACTACTACTACTTGTGTACAAAATTTCATTCCATCTCATGTAATGACAATAAAGTTTACAGTTCTTGAACGTGGACTACTTTATCCCTACTTTGCGGTTTTTCCACTTATCAATGGGGGCGTGGCCCCTAAACCCTGTGATAAACAAGGGACCACTGTATTCAGAAGTAGTTGGCTTGTAATAAGGAACAAAATAAAGATTAAGACCAGAGTTTTAATGAGAGTTGGTAGGAGAGATCATCTCTCTACAGTTGTAGCTTCTCTCCATTGGCTCCCTGTCAAATTCAGAATTTAATTAAAATCTTACTTCTAACCTACAAAGCTCTCAACAACCTAGCTCCATCTTACATTACAGATCTTATTCTTCCACATTTTCCTAACAGATCACTTCGCTCTCAGACTGCAGGTTTACTTGTGGTTCCTAGAGTTTCCAAAAGCAGAATGGGAGGAAGAGCTTAAAGTTCAGACCACTGAAACCACACCAGGATCAAAGAAACCCACACCTGGGCCATATAAAACTACAACTGGACCAAAGAAACTACATCTGGATCATAGAAAACTACACCTGGACCATAAAAATTATACCTGGATCATAGAAACCCACAACTGGACCAAAGAAACTACATCTGGACCATAGAAAACTACACATAGACAATAAAAACTACACCTGGACCATAGAAACTAAACCAAGACCATAGAAACCACAACTGGACCATAGAAAATTCCACCTGGACAATAAACACTACACCTAGATTATAGAAAACCACACCTGGACCACAGAAACGACACCAGGACTGCTTCCTGCACTTCACTTTTCCACCACCAGGTTTCCTTATATCCTAACAGGTAGAAGTAGAAGGTCTGATGCTAAATGTTGTCCATGGTTATGCACAGGTTGGATGTGATGTGGAAGAGAAAGATAAATTTTGGAAGGACCTGGATGAAGTGATAGAGAGCACTCCTATGGAGGAGAGAGTGGTGATCAGAGCAGACCTGAATTGCCATGTCGGTGGAGGAAACTGAAAGAAACCAGGAAGGACAGATGGTGGTGGATTTTGTCAAGAGAATGGAAATGGCTGTTCCAAAAGAGGGAGGAACATAGAGTGACCTATACGAGTGGAGGAAGGAGTACGCAGGTTGACAACATTCTGTGTAGAAGAGGAAACCTGAGGGAGATTGGAGACTGTAAGGTTGTGGCAGGGGAGAGCGTGGCCAGACAGCATCAGATGGTTGTGTGTAGAATGACTGTTGTTGTGAAGAAGAGAAAAAGAGTAAAATCAGAGAAGAAGACCAAATGGTGGAAGATGAAGAAGGAAGAATGTTGTGAGGAGTTCAGAGAGGAGCTGTTAAAGGCTCTGGGTGGTAAGAAAGAGCTTCCAGATGACTGGGCTACTACAGCAACAGTAATTAGAGAGACAAGTAGGAAGATACTTGGTGTGTCATCTGGACAGAGAACATACGATAAGGAAACCTGGTGGTGGAATAGTGACGTGCATGAAGCTGTTCAAAGAAAGAGATTAGCCAAGAAGAAATAAGACAGTGAGAGGACTGAAGAGAGGAGACAGGAATATAAGGAGATGCAAAGGCAAAGCAGAAGGTGTATGAGTTGTATGGGAGACTGGACACTAAAGAGGACAAGAAGGACTTGTACCGATTGGCAAGACTGAGGGATCAGGCTGGAAAGGATGTGCAGCAGGTTAGACTTGTGAAAGATGGGAATGGTAATGTTCTAACAAGTGAGGAGTGTGATGGAAGATGGAAGGAGTAGTTTGAGGAAATAATGAATGAAGAGAATGAAAGAGAAAGAAGAGTAGAGGTCATAGAAACTGTGGACCAGGAAGTGGGAAAGATTAGTGAGAGCTAAGTTTGGAAAGCTCTGAAAAGAATGAAGAAGTGGAAGGCAGTAGAACCTGATGACATACCAGTGGAGGTTTGGAAATGTCTTGGAGAGATAGCAGTGAGGTTTTTCACTCAAATATTCAATGGCATATTTGAGGGTGAGAAAATGCCTGAGGAATGGAGAAGAAGTGCTGGTGGCCATTTAAAGAACAATGATGTACAGAGTTGTAGCAACTACAGGGGAATTAAGTTGATGAGTTGCAAGATGAAGATCTGGGAGAGAGTTGTGGAAGCAAGACTTAGACGAGAGGTGACTATCTGTGAGCAGCAGTATGGTTTCATGCCAAGAAAGAGCGCCACAGATGCCATCTTTGCTTTGAGGATGCTGATGGAGAAGTACAGAGAGGGTCAGAAAGAACTCCTTTGTGTCTTTGTGGATTTAGAAAAAGCATCTGACAGAGTGCCGAGGGAGGAGGTGTGGCATTGCATGAGGAAATCTGGAGTGGCAGAGAAGTATGTTAGACTGGTACAGGACATGTATGAGGACAGCAGGACATGTTAGACTGGTACAGGACATGTACGAGGACAGCAGGACATGTTAGACTGGTACAGGACATGTACGAGGACAGCAGGACAGTGGCAGGATGTGCTGTAGGAGTGACAGATAACTTCAAGGTGGAGGTGGGAGTGCATCAAGGATCAGCTCCGAGTCTCTTCTCGTTTGCTCTGGTGATATGTCAGGTAGGACTCTCTGTGGACTATGATGTTTGCAGATGGCATTGTGATCTGTGGTGAGAACAGGGAACAGGTGGAAGAGAACTTGGAGACGTGGAGGTATGTACTTGAAAGAAGAGGAATGAAAGTCAGCCGTAGTAAGACAAGAGTCCATGTGTGTGAATGAGAGGGAGGAGGTGGAACAGTGAGGCTACAAGGAGCAGAGGTCACAAAGGTGCAGGACTTCAAGGACTTGGGGTCCACTGTCCAGGAACATGGGGAGTGTGGTAAAGAGGTGAAGAAGAGAGTCCAGGCAGGATGGAGTGATGGAGAAAAGTTTCAGGAGTGATTTGTGACAAAAGGGTGTCAGCAAAGGTCAAAGGAAAAGTTTACAAGATAGTGGTGAGACCAGCTACAGTATAATGTATGGTCTGGAGACAGAGACATGGACAAAGACAGGAGACAGAACTGGAAGTGACAGAAATGAAGATCAGGAATGAGATCATCAGAGGTACAGCACAGGTTGAACAACTATGAGATAAAGTTAGGGAGGCCACACTGAGATGGTTTGGACATGTCCAGAGGAGGGACAGTGGTTTGGACATGTCCAGAGGAGGGACAGTGGTTATATTGGTCTGAGTGATATTGGACTTCTGTATGTATTTTATATTCTTTATGTAATTTATTCCTGTTGATCTTTGTTCTTACTGTAAAGTGTCCTTGGGTGTCATGAAAGGCGCTTTTTAAATAAAATTATTATTATTATTATTATTATTATTTATATTGGTAGAAGGATGATAGAAATGCAGCTGCCAGGAAAAAGACAAAGAGGAGACATCTGGATGCAGTTAGAGAGGACATGGAGGTAGTTGGAGTGAGGACAGAGGACGCAGAGGACAGAGTGAGATGGAGGAGGAGGACTCGCTGTGGCGACCCCTGAAGAGGGAAGAACCAAAAGAAGAACAAACTTTTTATTTGGGCTGGACAGACAGCTTCATCCTGACCAGAAAAACACTTTCATTCATTCAACCTTTATTTCTACAGGTTAGTCTCATTGAGCCTCGAGGACTCACTTACAAGAGAGACCTGTAAAATCACATACTTTAAAATAAAAAGAGTGTGTAGAGCAGAGGAACACCCAAACACTCAATCAAGTTATGTGCAGGATCTTACACTCATACTTTGTGTTGTGGATGACTCTCAGCTACTGCCACAACAAATCATAGCTCAATATCTGGAAAACTAACTGAGCTACAGCCAGTCTGGTGCTTTTTAAGGTAATTCACAAACAGCTGTTAAAACCTAATCTATAATGTGATTTTCTTTTTTTTTAAATCCAAACAGGGCGGCAAGGTGGCGCAGTTCGTAGAGCTGCCACCTCTCAGCGAGAAGGTCCCCGTAGAGAATCCAGGCCCGGGGGCCATTCTGGGTGGAGTTTGCATGTTCTCTCCGTGCTGTGTGGGTTTCCTCCCACAGACCCAAAACATGCATGTTAGTCTGACTGGTAACTCTAAATTGTCCCTAGGTGAGAGAGTGAATGGTTGTTTGTCTCTATGTGTCCCTGTGATGGACTGGAGACCTGTCCATGGTGTCCCCACCTCTTGCACAGTGAAAAATCTGTACGCCTTTTTATAACGGTCTATTGTTGTCCCTGTTGTCCATTGTTGTCATCATTCTTTGTTGAAATCAGGTCTCTCTTGTAAATGAGTCCTTGGGGTTCAATGGGATTTACCTGTATAAATAAAGGTTGAATGAATGAATGAATGATGGCTGGACATGGGCACCAGTGACCCACATGACCCGAAAAGGAAAGAAGGAAGGAAGCAAGGAGGGAAACAAGCAAGGATGGATGGATGGATGGATGGATGGATGGATGGATGTTTAAATTGTTAACTATTCTCAGTTTTAGTGCTGCATCAATCAGAAGGTTCATTTTTGGCACGATTCACCCCAAACAATGAAAGAAAGAGTTATAAGACGTTTCATTTCTCCTCTCTGATCTGACCATCATTTATCTGCAGCGTTCGTACCTTGACAGGAAGCGGCTGAAGTTCTGCAGGTCGTTGGAGTCCAGAACCACGTTCAGCTCAGTGACGGTCCTCTCAGTTCTTGGACCCACCTGTTGAAAACACATCTTCAGCTAAAACAGTCCAACAATATAAATGGAAGTAGACTGTACTTATAGAGCACCTTTCTATCCAACCAGGATGCTCAAAGCTTCAAGTGTCCCTCTAACCGCTGATAGAATCTGATAAAAATGTGATTATTGTGACAGTAAAGCAGACATGAAGGTAATTCAGGACAAACTGTGTGACTCTGATAATCAGACAGTTTTCTCAGCCTGGACCCTGAACTGACCCAGAGACGGTTTAAAAGATCCGGTCCAAAGACAGAAAAGTGCAGCGGAAGCCAAGTCGATCATCTGAAGCTGATTGGTGCAGACATCTCATACAAAGCCAAAAAAAATGTACATTTAGAATATTTTATGGTCAATTTCTTTCTTTTTTTATCATTTTAAGTTTGAGAAATAAAAAAACAACACATTTTGTGTTCTTGCTGTCAGCAGGGTGACGATGGCGTCTTTGTTGAAGGTTTTCTGTTGTTTCCGTTCCTACTTTTCATTCTGTTTCTTCTAAAGTCTTCCTGGATTATCTGAAAACGACTTTTCTTTATTTTTTTAAGTGTCAAAATATGAACATTTCTTCTGCGGTTTGAGAAGCTTTAATTTCAGTGAACTGGTGAGCATGACTCTGTCTCCCTCTGCTGCTGAAACACAAACGCTTCTGAAGGTTTCACAATTTTCTGCTCCTCAACTGCAACTGTTTCCATTTCAACTAAAGCTGAACAAAAATGAGCCCTGAGCAAGAACAAACAGCAAACAGACATTTTGATGAGCTGAAATAAGATTTTCACACAACATGTACACAGTTACAGTAAAATGGAGGATACGATGAAGAGTGAGACGTTATCCGTCTCACATATCAACATTTTACAGATGAAACTAAAGAAGAAAATGACCCACCTTGACCTCAGAGAGCTGAAACTCTAGTTGAAAAGTGATTTCAGAGCAGTGGCCCGATAAACAGAACTGCAGGACCGTCTTACTGTCACCTGGCAAACACAAGAAAACAACAAAAACAAAAGAATCCAGATGATTAATACCAGACTGTGTTGTTTACTATCGTTAAATCTAACTAAACGCCACCACTCAATAAAACATTTTCTATATTTAGAAGTTCATAAAAGACATAAAATCAATGTTGTTACTTAATAACAAACATTATGCTGCACATGTTTAGGCCTGCAGCTCAGGACAGTACCGTCGAGCACAGCTCAAACGTCATCCTGAAGTTCGCTGATGACGCCACCGTTTTGGGGCTCATCACCAACGACGACGGGAGTGAACAGCTGGTGTCAGGAAAATAACCTCTCTCTGAACGTCAGCAAAACAAAGGAGATGATAGTGGACTACAGGAAACAGCATGAACCCCACCATCTACATAAACAATGCTGAGGTGGAGCAGGTCGGCACCTTCAAGTTCCTCGACGTTCACGTTACTGAGGATCTTTTCTGGACACATTACATACAGACACTGTGGTCCAGAAAGCCCGACAACGACTTACTTCATAAGAAGATTAACAAAGTTTGGTACGATCACCGGCATCCTCACTAACTTTTATAGGTGCACCATTGAGAGCCTGCTGACAGGCTGCATCACAGGGTGGTACGGGAACGGCACCAGTCAGAAAGCACCACAGAGGGTGGTGCAAACAGCAGAGGGCATCACTGGTAGCAGTCTCCACACCATCTACCACAGCCGATGTCTGCATACAGCATGCAGCATCATTAAGGACCACACCCACCCAGCACAAGGACTCTCATCTACTACCCTCAGACAGACGATGCAGGAGCCTCCCAACATGCACGAAAAGACTCAAAGACAGTTTTACCCACAAGATGTCAGATACTGAACTCTTGAATATAACACTGAACAACTGACAGTCTCATTGTACCAAGCCACATCTGTGACACCTAATATGTTTATTGCTGCTGCATTATGTGGCTGAATCATGTATGTCACTACCTTACCATCATAATTCATGCTCATTGTCACTAACTGTGCAATAACCTGTCACACAACCTGTGTAGTTTATGTTAGTTATGTGCATTTTAGCTTATATTATTACCTGTGAAATACTTATTTATACTAACTCATCCTTCTTGCACCGTTATATTCTACCATGTTTTTGTTTACTACATTTCTTTTGGAACTTGTAAATATTATGTTCCTTTTTCATTTTTGGTACTTTATTTTGCACGCTTTAGTTTTTTTTTTTTTCTTAGCGAGTCGAATGGGTTCTTCTCATCCTGAACATTTCTTTGCATTGTTGACCTTGTGTTAACCTGCATATGACAAATAAACAAAAACAACAACAACAGCTACTTATTTCCCCCAAATAATCTAAAAGTTATTTCACGGATTTCTTGATGAATCTATTAAAAACCATTCACCGACGTGCGTTCTTACCGCTCTGCAGAGTTTTTGTGATACAGCTGTTCAGATCGATGCCGTTCATCTGAGTCTGCAGCTTCAGGTCCTCCTCCAGCTCCTCCACCTCCTCCTTCAACCTGGACACCACCGCCTCCTTCCCTCCACCGCCTGTCTGTCCACACATGTATGAACTGTGGAGATAAACAAACTTTAAAAAATGAACATTTCTGTTTCTGAAACAAAGGAGGAGGAGATGAAGCTGGAACTCACAAGGCCTCCTGCATCTGTCCTCTGAAGTGCAATGTTTCGTCCTTGCAGTTGTTCTGCTGCTGCAAAGCTTTAATTTCTGCCTGCAGATGTTTGATCTGAGCCTCCAGAACGTTCACCTCCTCAATGTTCTCTTCACTCATCTTCACTTCTTCTGAGTGGACCTTATCATCGAGTTAAAAACAAAAAGATGCTTTAACAGGGAGCGGGTCAAATGGGAGTCAGACAAACGCCAACAGGCCAGCCCAGAACATTATGACCGATGACGAAAGTGTGAAAATCTTGTTTCGGTGAAATTTAACAGTGGATATGATGCTCTGGGGAGAAAGTGAATATTGTTTTTCTCTTTGGGAGTTGAATTATTTAGAGCAGAGTTTTCTGTATCACCTGATCCTCACATCTAAAGCTCCTGTCCGAAACTCTCTCAGCACAGAAAGTCTGAGTTCCCACGCTCCAGAGTCCAGCAGGTGATTCAGATCGATGAAAACCAGGACCAACAACACAAACTGCTCCATCACTCAGACCAATGTTTAATGAAAGACTTACTCTAATTTCCTTCTTAAGGTCTGGTGTTTTCTTCTATCGGATGTTTTTATTTAAAGCTTTTGCTGCGTTTTGTTTTATGGAAGTGAATTTGTTATTTGTTGTTTCCACCTGGCTGCAAAGCAAATTTCCCTGCAGGAACAATAAAGCTGAGACGTGTTCAGAAGAAGTTAACAGTGCAGGGATTTCAGCTTAAGATATTATGGGATGCAGAGGTCAGGATCAACCTGAGTATGTCCAACAGAACCCCAAATTCTGCATGTGGGCTCTGCTCTTACAAACTGACCACATTCACCTTTCAGGATAATGTCCCCTGCCTCACTCCTTCCAAACTATCCAGTTGTCAGCCCAAACTAACATCTGTGGAACGTGGAGCTCCCACATCTGGTGTCACAGTAGACCGCTACAGGCCAAGACAGAGGTTTTGGTTCAGGAAAACAGAGGTTGTGGTTTTTGGACCTGAGCATCTTAGGAATAAATTTTGCAGACTTTCACAAACTCTAGATGGTATTAATTTGGCCTCCAGCTCTAATATTAAAAATCTTGGTGTTGTTTTTGATCGGGACATGTCTTTTAGCCACGCCCCTCGCACAGTGATTGCTGGATTTGGGCACCGGCGACCCCCATGACCCAAAATGGAAGAAACGGGTGAAAGATAATGGATGTACGGATGTCTTTTATAATAATAATAATAATAATAATAATAATAATAATAATAAACTTTATTTCTATAGCACCTTCCAACAATGTCTTGCATTGACCAAGGTGCTTTACAAGATAAAACAAAAACAGAACACAATAAATCAGTGCAAATTAAAAGCACAACCAGAATAAAAGAAGGTAAAATAGATTTTAAAAATGCTAAATACTAAAAGTTAAACATCAAAAGCCTTTTTAAATAAGTAGGTTTTCAGTTTGGCTTTGAACAGAACCAGATCAGAGATGGCACGCACCTCATACCACTTTATTTATAAAGCACTTAAAACAGCTACAAGGCCAACCAAAGAGCTGTACAGACAGAACAACAGGTAACACACAAAGCAAAATACAAACTGAGGTAAATCAGAATATAGACATAAAAACGATGCAGATAATGACGACAAACCAGTGTGGAGCGTACAGGATCAAAACACAGATCATCGTGTTGAAAGCTACTGAATAGTAGTGAGTTTTTAAACAGGACTTGAAAACCGAGAGGGAGGGGGCCTGTCTGACAAGCAGAGGTAACTCGTTCCAAAGTCTTGGTCCTGCTATAGAGAAGGCCCTGTCACCTCTGCGCTTAAGACGAGTTCCTGGAACTGTGAGGAGCAACTGGTCCACTGACCTCAGGGAACGTGGCGGGACATACGGTTGTAGCAGATCAGAGAGATTTGGGAGGGGGGGGGGGGGGACACTATTCAGTGATTTGTAGACATACATGAGTATTTTGAACTGGATTCGAAAGTGAACCGGTAACCAGTGCATTGAGGCCAAAACTGGTGTAATGTGCTCTCTTTTGCCTGTACTGGTTAAAAATGGGGCTGCTGCATTCTGGACCAGTTGTAGTCATGCTGTAGAGGACTGACTGACCACCAGCTGAAGAGGAAGATGCAGCGCGCAGAGCTTTAAGCTTCACAGCACGTTTTCCCCGGCGTCTGAAGCGATGTCTCCTCCAGGCAGGCAGGTGAGGAGCGCAGCGGAGGTAAACTGGCACGTCCGCCAGCAGGGGGGGAGGAGTGGGGGGTCCAGAGGTACGCTGATAATGGTCCAAATAAGCGACATCGGTGACAGCAAAACGAAGATCCAGAAGCTGTTGTCTGTCATACACCAGGAGTGAATTTATGCCACAGATAAAAAACGAACAAAACAAAAATAATCCGAACACCATCCAGCAAGGGTGGATTGCAAGCCATGTACACGGGCGCCATCTTACCGGAACATGGGGAAGAGTATTCCAGGCTGTTGGGCCTGCAACAGAAAAAGGCCGGTCCCCCCATTGTTTGCACCTTGAGCAAGGCACCTCCAGCAGATACTGACCAGCAGACCGTAAAGCTCTGCTGGGCTGGTGGACTTTCAAAAGTTCTGAACTACAGCGGTGCAAGGCCATTCAAAGCTTTAAAAACAAACAGCAGCAGCTTGAACTGTATCTTAAACTGAACTGGGAGCCAATGCAAAGACGTTACTAGAACCTCCTTCTTCCACCTGCGTAATATCACTAACATTAGAAACATCTGATCTAAAGATGATGCAGAAAAACTGGTCCATGCATTTGTCACGTCTAGACTGGACTATTGCAATGGTTTATTATCTGGGTGTCCAAATACTTCTTTAAAAAGTCTTCAGTTGATCCAAAATGCTGCTGCCAGAGTCTTAACTGGAGTTACTGGGAGAGATCATCTCTCTCCAGTTTTAGTTTCTCTCCATTGGCTCCCCGTCAAATCCAGAATAGAATTCAAATCTTACTTCTACCTATAAAGCTCTCAACAACCTAGCTCCATCTTATATAATTAGAGATCTTATTGTTTCATATTTTCCCAATAAAGAACTTCACTCTCGGACCACAGGTTTACTTGTGGTTCCTAGAGTTCCAGAAGCAGAATGGGAGGAAGATCTTCCAGTTCTCAGGCTCCTCTCTTGTGGAACCAACTTCCAGTTTCTGTCCATGAGGCTGACACATTGTCCAGTTTGAAGACTGGGATTAAGACTTTCCTTTTTGATAAATCCTATAGTTAGGGTTGGCTTGTTATGCTGCTATAGACTTACACTACTGGAGGACAAATACACCTCATTTCTTAAAATGATACTTCATTTGATACTATTTAACATGTGATCCTTGACTGCCATTGTGTATCTGTTCCTCTCAAACCCAGCTGGTCGAAGCAGATGGTCCTCTTGTCCTGATCCTGGTTCTGCTAAAGGTTTCTTCCTCATGAGGGAGTTTTTCTTTCCACTGTCGCCTTCACGCTTGTTCAACATGAGAGTTCTGTGATGGAGTTAAACTCAAAGCTGCTCCTCAGATAAATAATGTCATTAACTTACTTTTAAGTATGTGAATGTTTCTGTACAGTACCCTGAGATGACTTCTCTTGTGATTTGGCGCTATATAAATAAACTGAATTAAATTGAATTTAGACCCTGATCGGGTCAGGACGGGTATTAGTCATAATGTTATGACTCGTGTCAGCAAATTTTTAACGTTGTTATTTGGACGAACTCTAATGGTTAGTAGAAAAATGGTCTGATGAACATGAAAAGTCGCAAAGAAATGACGCATTTAACCAAAATAGACTACTGTAGTTTTAAAAACTTGAACTTACCGCTTTTTTTTTTTTACATACTGACAACACGACATATATGTCAATAAATAATATAAATTTGCAATTTAATCCTTCGTAGTAAAATACAATTGTAAAAAGACCGTTTTCATATTTTAATAGAAAATAAAATACTTTTTTTTACCTGATTTGTTTTCCGTTGGTTTCTTTCCGAGACGAAATGTTGAAGCTTCGAGCTCACCGGACTGTACCACTTTTGCCTAAAATGGAGGGGAAAGTTGAGTTTTGAGAAATTACTTCAGTTTAAAAGAATATCTCCTTAAATAAAACTATCAATATTGTTAATATAATTTATCAACAGTTAATATTTATGTGTTTTACTGTAATCTCCAGACAATAAAAACAAGTATGAGCGAGCTGCAATGAGAAGCCCCCCCCCCCCCCTCAGAACAGATTAAATGACCCGACTGTGGTCCCGGAAGAAAATAATTAACCATAATTTCATTTTTAAAATATAACAATATTCTCTAACACCTTTATTGTTGTAACTGTATCACTTTGAAGCTATATAATTATTTTTAAAGTGCACAAGCTTTCCTTGAAACCTGTTGTAAAATTTAATAACAGCGGAACGTTTGCAACAATAGGAAGTCTTAGCCGGACTCAGAACATAGTAGCACCGGCTGAATCCATGTGAGGTAAACAGTTGTGATTTTCGTGTTATTCCGGTCCTTTAGTAATTAAACTGCTAGTTTTGGTATGATGAATCGGTTTTATTAGTCACAAGTCTGTTTAATTTTCAGATAGTTTTTATTTTGCTCTGTTTTTTATGTTCTTCAGTCATTTTTGTGTTTGAGCTTCTCGCTGAAACGCTTTGAATTTGTTCTGCTGTTTTCTGCACATCTGTCCGTTCTGAGGGTTGTACTCATCTGTTTCTATACATGTGCATGTGTGCCAGCGTTGTAATACGTTTCATCTGACTAACAATCCAACAAACAAGTGATGTTCTGTGACACAGGCTCCCAAAATAGGGGTCGGGGTCCCATAAAGGGTCGTAAAACCAAGTGGGGGGTCTTGAGAAGAAGAAACAAAAAATATAATAATAATTGTGTAAAGCATATTGGCAGGTTAAAATAGTTTGTTTATTAGATGATTATTTAATGAATTTTAAGTTGGGCTCATAGATCTGCTACTTTTAATGTTGGATCTCAAACGAACTGAAAAGACCTTTAGATTGTGCTAAACAAAGATTTTAGCCTTTATTTATTTTTATTTTTTATCAAACTGCTGCAAACATGCTGTAAATGGTCCGATACAAGGACTGAACTGGTTTAAGACATAAAAAGCCAAACATATAACATGTATGTTGCTTGCAGTGAAGACAAGCAATGAGGCGGCTGTACGTGGGCGGCTTGAGCCACACGGTGACCCAGAAGGATCTGAAGGATCGGTTTGGAAAGTTTGGGGAGGTGAAAGATGTGGAGCTGCGGACCAGGATGGGCGAGGACGGTGAGGAATCTGATTTACCCGAAGACACACAACAGATGATAAACAGAACCACCTGCGTCACGTCATCAGTGTCATCCAGAAACTGATCCATTTTATATTTATTTATTGATCTCCAGATGTTCCTTATAAAACCTTCGGCTACATCAACATCAACATTTCAGACGCTGATCTGAAGAAATGTAAGTGAAGAAAATGTTGTACATTTTGTGACCAGAATCGCAGCCAAACGTACATTTCTTTTCTGAAAACTAATTTAACTTCATTTGAACTGAAAAACTGAAATAGTGTTGGTCCTTCAGTATTTATTTACTTGTTATGATGCAATAAGATGTCATATTTTGTAATAAAGTGCATCCGGGAAACTGAAGATGTGCAAACGTTTGGTCAGAAGTTCAATTTGTTTCCTCTGAACAGATTTAACGGAGCTGAAACTTTGTGTAACGTTCAGTTTGTCTGATATTTATTTAAAAATAGAGTTTGAATTTAAATAATGCTGAGTGCTTGAGTCTCTGTCTCCTTGGTTTTTTTTTTTGTTTGTTTGTTTTGTTTTTTTATAAACATTTTTTAAGCAGCACAGTGTGATCTGTTGCCTCTCAGCGAGCAGGTCCCTGGTTCAAATCCCAGTCCGCGGGCCTTTCTGGGTGGAGTTTGCATGTTCTCTCCGTGCTGCGTGGGTTTTCTCCGGGTACTCCAGTTTCCTCCCACAGACCAAAAACATGCATGTTAGGCTGACTGGTAACTCTAAATGTTCCTAGGTGTGACTGTTTGTCTTGTTTGTCTCCGTGTGTCCCTGTGATGGACTGGAGACATGTCCAGGGTGTACTCCGCCCCTCGCACAGTGATGGCTGGACATGGGCACCAGTGACCCCCGCAACCCAAAAAGGAAGAAGTGGGTTAAAGATAATCGATGGATGGATAAACATTTTTTAATCTAACTTCTGCAGACTTTGTTCTACTTTAGCCGTTCATAAAACAAAACTTTTGCCTCATTCCCTCAATGGGCGCTAAAACTTTTGGGTTTTGTAGCTTTTACTTTTCAAAATATTTAACTTCTATTTAAAAAAATTAACTGAAAGAAACACATTAAGATTAAAAACATCCCAATGCTGTTGCTATGTTTGGCTTTTAGCTACTGTTCTGCTGTATTTTGCTACCATTTTACAACTTTCAGCTTCTAGCTAGCCTTTTTGTTTTTTATTTTATTTTTTATTAAACCTTTATTTAACCAGGTAGATCTCACTGAGATTAAAAATCTCTTTTTCAAGAGAGATCTGGCCAAGGTTGGCAGCAGACCACAGACAACGAACTCTTGCTTTCAGCTTCTTCCCAGATTTCAACAGACCTCCAGTGTTCACGCTGCGTTTTCACAGGAAATTACATTTTTCTGGGTATGAGTCTGAAATCTGTTCCCTCTGCAGGTCTGACGGTTCTTAACAAATCCAAGTGGAAAGGAGGAACTCTGCAGATTGAAGCAGCCAAAGAGAGTTTCCTGCACAGGTCTGAAAATCTGCCATGATTCTTTTTAGAGAATCTGTGCTTCCCTTAAATACTTACTCAAATTAAGTATAATCATTTGGTCACAATGTTTAAAAAAAACAGATTTTACAATGATATAATCATGATTGTTTTTGTATTGTTATGAAATCTGGATGTTTTCTATTGTACCTTTTTATTAATCTATAAATTGTTGCCTCTGTAGAACCTTTAGTTGCACCTTTGTACCAGAGTAGGAGGAGCTGATGGTTTCAGAAAACAAATTAATCTGTTTGAGCTCCGGTGCCGTTGTCTCAACGTAACTAAAGATTTAAAAGTGGTTTGTGATGCTCTGATGTTTTAGGTTGGCTCAGGAGCGGCAGGAAGCAGCAGAGCAGCGTCTCCATCCTTCTGCAGCTGAAAACAAGGAGCAGAAGCTTTTGGACTCGCTGAGCAAAGCAGGAGTGGAAAACTTCACCATGAAGGCTGCGGTACCGGGGACCGAAGTCCCGGGACACAAGGTTCGTTCATCCTGTACTTCCTGTTTGACTCCAGACCTGAACAAGCCGGAAGTGCTGAATGTTTTTAGGTTCAGAGCAGTTTGAATCAGAAACTCAGACATAATTAAAAAGTTCACTCAAGATCTTCAGACTCTGAGGATTTGAGTTTCTGGACAAGACTGAAAACAAATCACATGATCAGGTGTCAAATGTAGTTTAATACAATCTCAGAAGAACGACGACATGAAAATATGACATCACTACAGCTTAATGATTATTAACCCAAATACATCTTGTGGATTTTTCTGATCTAAATTGCCTCAACACAGAAACAGGTGAAATTAAAGACGTCTTCAAAAATGGTCCAAGTTGTTTATTGCAATAAACAAAGGCACAAGTCACGCAGAGTGTCTAAGCAGTCTGCAGGAGAGCGCACGGAGCAGTGTCGCTGCAGAGATATTCATAAATGTGCAGCGGAGCTAATCAACAACATCTCGGTTCGATTGGACTGAACCAGGCTTGGGGTGTGTGGCACCGCTGGTCCAAGGTCTCAGAGCAAACTTCCTGTTTCAGGTCACTGAGTTTCAAACTGATCTAAAAGGCTGAACTTTGTTTTCAGCAGGAGGAACATCAGAGCTGCTGCTGGACCACCGAGATCTTCTCTGGTCGTATTTTTAGTTCATCTGTAGTGTAAATGTACGGAAACATCTTGTCAGTGAAGGTGTGTGTGAAGGTGTGTATGTGTGTGTTTGTATCAGGGTCAGAGAACGACAGCTTCCCTCTGTTCCAGTCCAGATTCACTCTGATCCTCTGGAGCTTTTTATGAACTAGGAGAACTTTGGGAAGACCTGCTGGTGAATCTGCTCTGTATTCATCTTCATAGAACCACCATCTCCATAATCCAGACCACATGTCTGTCTTCTTCTGGGCTGACTCTGCCAACACACCAAGGCTCCACTTTTCACAGTCTCCAACTTCAACAACCCAGCTGTGATTTCCTGAGTTAAAACCCTCAGAACTCAAAACAGAACGCAAAATATTTAATCTCTCAGGATTATCAGGAAGCTGCTGGTCGTCTCCTGGTCTCATACTGGTCAGATCTTCAGACAGGACGAGTCTTAGACCAGCAGTGTTTGGGTCCAGGATGATGGGGGTGTAAGAGACCATGTCCTTCATGTTGTTCCAGATGTTGAAGGCCAGGTTGCCCAGATGTTTGGCCTGGTCTATCAGAGCTCCTGAGGGCAGCTGTGGATCCTCCAGCAGGGAGCAGCGCTGGACTCTTTCCACTGCAGCCTTGTAGTTGTGCAGGAAGAAGACATCTTCAGCTCTCAGCTCCTCCTCTGTGGCTCTGACTGTGTCTGAAAGAGCTTCCATCTCTCTGCTCAGAGCCTCCATCTTCTCCTTCATCATCCCACTCTTCTGCTCCTCTTCCTCCTTCAGAGCAGCCAGCCTGGCCTCCTCTTCCTCTGTTAGAAACTGGTGAAGCTTCTTAAACTGCTCCTTCATCTGCCTCTCTGTGAGTCGAGCCTGGACCTTCATGTGTTCTGCTGTCTGATCAAACTTAGAGTGAACTTTCTTCTGGACCTCCAGCTTCTCCTTCAGTGGTTCCAGGGACCTCAGCAGGTCCTCTCTGTGTTCCTCTGCAGCTTCATCGATGGGTCTGAATCTGTGGTCGGTGTGTTTCTTTGAGTCTCTGCAGACGAGACAAACTGGTTCCTGATGGTCCAGACAGAAGAGCCTGAGTTTCTCAGAGTGCAGACTGCAGAGAGCCTCTGAAGCTCTCTGATGGTTCTCCTGTAAGAAGGACTCACAGATGTTCTTCAGAGCCCGGTTACAGGCTGGATCCACATTTGAAGATCTCTTCCTACAAACAGGACACTCCTGTGCTGGTTTCTCCCTCCACCAGTTCTTCAGACAGACTTTACAGAAGCTGTGGCTACATGGCAGAAGAACAGGATCTTTGAAGACCTCCTGACAGACCGGACAGCAGAGATCCTCCTCGGACCTGGAAGCCATTTAGCCTCTGAGTGAAGCTGAAAACAACAGACAGGAAGTGGTCAGTCATGGCTCCCCTCCTCCTCTAAAGTCTCTCAAACTGTCTCTGAGGTTTTGCTCCGACTCACCTTAAGGTTGAGCAGCTTGAAGCAGAAGGTTGGAGTTTTCTACTTTTGTCTCCTGCAGCTGGACTCAGAAGAAGCTGAGAGTTTGGGCTGAAGGTCCGTCTGTTCGGCTCTGAGTGTCTCTGTAGTGAAATATAATCTGCTTCCTGGTTTGTTTCAGGCGAACCTTCAAACTTTAGTCTCTGCTGTAACTCAGGTGTGTTTTATATCCCATAATTCAACTTTACAGCTGATATAATGAAAATCTACATTTTTATTTGCACAGTTCAGAACAGACTAGGCCTCAGTCAGCAGGTCAAAGGTCATGACCTCTTCTCTAAAAACATGGCATCACTGCTTAGGTTTAGAAAGTTTCATCTGAAATAACCACAAGACTTCTGGACCAGAACCAAACCAGAGGACAGATGTTTACCCAGAATGCACTGCAGCCAACAGCTCCTTCCAGCCATCAGCATGGTGGTGGAGGCTGATGGTTTGGGCTCCTGTCTGTCCCTGAGGGGATCAGATGGTTCTGGAGTCCAACAGATGAAGCTTGGATCAAACTGAGTCCAACAGGACCATGATCCCAAACACATCAGCTGATCTACAACAGAACAGGTCAGAAAGAACAGAACCATGGTGCTGCAACGGTCCAGTCAGAGTCCAGAACCTGCACCTGGCTGAAACACTGTGGTGGACCTTCAGAAAGCTGAGCAGAACCTGTTTGGATAAACTGATGTGTCATCAGGTCTGAATAATCATCTTTTTTTTCATTCAGCCTTTATTTCTACAGGTTAGTCTCATTGAGCCTCAGGGACTCAATTACCAGAGAGACCTGTTCCAGACAGAACGTATAAAGTACAGACAAGAAAACAGTAAACAATGACAACAATAAACTACAGTAAAAATGCAGTTAGACGAAGAGTAGTGTATAAAACATTCAGGGTGCTGTAAAACAGTGAAATACTAAAAACGAATATATTTGCTTTGATTTTTCTATTGACATTATCAAATGTTTGAAATCCCTTAAAGAAACTAAGGAGGACAACTTCAGTTCCTGTTGTAAGGTGTTCCAGGTGCAGGAGCTGAGTAGGAAAAGGCCTTTTTGACAAGTTCAGTCTGCGCTGAGGGAACACTGCAGGTAATGATGTCCTAAGAGCGCATGTTGTAACTGCACTGACGACGTGACTTGTGGGAGGAGATACAAGAAGGCAGCAGACCAAGGAGGGATTTATAGATGAAGATGAAGCTGAACCAGTGTGAGAGCCTACGTGTAGATAATGATGACCAATGAGTGCAGGGTGCAGTGATGGCTACGGTAGTTACATCCAGTTATGAATCCTAGTGCAGCTAAGCAGCTGGCAGGAGCATTCATGTAAGTATTGTCACCATAGTCAACGACCAGTAGGAAGGTAGCAGTTACAAGATGTTTTCTGGCATTCAGAGTTAAAAAATATCTATTTCTGAAAAAGAAACTCGGCTTTAATTCAATTCAGTTTATATATAGAGTCAGAGATTCAGAGACATTTATTTGTCATTCGGATCTCATGTGGTACATGTGGTGGAACGAAATTATGTACTCAGGGTCCCAGTTACTTTCAACAATAAAATGTGAAAGAAACACGGTAATAACATCTAAGATATGAACTAAGGAAAACATCAACTAAAAATACACTAAGCACTAATAGCATAAAAATATTATGTCCAACAGCAGCACGAACATGAGTCTGTGTGAGCAGATGAGCACGCATGAACACATTAACATGAAACAGATCAGCAGCAACATGAAACAGATCAGCAGCAACATGAAACAGATCAGCAGCAACATGAAACAGATCAGCAGCAACATGATCTGATTATTCTGGTTAGAGATTCATGAGTCTATCAGCCTCAGGGTAGAAGCTGTTCCTCAGTCTAGTGGTTCTACACTTAATGCTCCTCAACCTCCTTCCTGAGGGGAGCGGGACAAAAAGTGTGTGTGCTGGGTGAGTGGGGTCCTTCATGATGCAGGTGGTCCTCTTCCTGCATCTGGAGGTGTAAATGTCTGTGATGGTGGGGAGACTGACTCCAACATCTTCTGTGCAGCCTTCACCACTCTCTGCAGAGCTTTTATTTCTAAAGCTGTGCAGCCTCCATGCCACATGCCATTATAAAGCTCCAAGCCACAATTGAAGTCGTCTCAGGACACCGAACAGAAACATTCATATTTAAAAATAATAATTTAACATTATTTATCTGAGGAGCAGCTTAGAGTTTAACTCCATCACTGAACTCTCATCTTGAACAAGCATGAAGGCGACAGTGGAAAGAAAAACTCCCTCATAAGGAAGAAACCTTTAGCAGAACCAGGATCAGGACAAGAGGACCATCTACTTCGACCGGCTGGGTTTGGTAGGAACAGATACACAATGGCAGTCAAGGATCACATGTTAAGATAGAAATAGTATCAAATGAAAACTATTCAATTTTAACAATTCATTTAAGGAAATGAGGTCAATTTGTCCTCTAGTAGTCTAAGTCTATAGCAGCATAACAAGCCAGCCCTAACTAGGATTTAGGAAAGTCTTCAAACTGAACAATGTGTCAGCCTCACGGACAGAAACTGGAAGTTGGTTCCACAAGAGAGGAGCCTGAGAACTGGAAGATCTTCCTCCCATTCTGCTGCTGGAAACTGTAGGAACCACAAGTAAACCTGCAGTCTGAGAGTGAAGTGGTCTGTTAGGAAAATATGGAACAATAAGATCTGTAATATAAGATGGAGCTAGGTTGTTGAGAGCTTTGTAGGTTAGAAGTAAGATTTTGAATTCTATTCTGGATTTGACAGGGAGCCAATGGAGAGAAGCTAAAACTGGAGAAATATGATCTCTCCCAGTAACTCCAGTTAAGACTCTGGCAGCAGCATTTTGGATCAACTGAAGACGTTTTAAAGAAGTATTTGGACACCCAGATAATAAACCATTGCAATAGTCCAGTCTAGACGTGACAAATGCATGGACCAGTTTTTCTGCATCATCTTTAGATCAGATGTTTCTAATGTTAGTGATATTACGCAGGTGGAAGGTGGTTTTAGTAACAGATTAATTTTAGTTTAGTTTAATTTCAGTTCCTTTATCAAGTTTTCGATGTGTGGTTTAAAAGAGAGATGTGCATCAACCAAAATTCCCAAGTATTTGTAAGAATCTACAAACTCGATAGGAACACCGTGCATGGATGAGCTAGGAGGAAGAGTTGTTGGCACAAACTGTTGTATTTTTTATTTTCAGTTTTTCTGGAAGAATTGTGCCTGATGCTGATGTCCAACACACCAGAGAAAAGGACGACACCTCCGTGTTCCTTAGTGCACCTAAATGTCTGCCGATGTCATGGACACATGCCTGTCTGATGTAAACAGTGTGCTAATTATATCAGCTTGATGTCAGACGTGTGTAACGTTTGCATTCAAAACGAGGAGTACTGGTTTGAGATTCTTTGTGTGAGGTTCAATATATCTCCTACAGATGTTGTTCTGAGTCTGTTCTTTGTTCTGAAGCAAAAATGTCCTTCAACCTTCTTGGCGAGCCAGCCGGAGCAGTTTGAACCTCAGTAACCTGATCAATACAATGTCCAGGTTCTGTCTTTATGTCATACAAATAAATGTAGTGACTGGTTCTGTGTGTTTTCTCTGGTTTTAGGACTGGGTCGTCAGTAAATTTGGTCGAGTCCTTCCTGTCCTGCAGCTCAGTTGTCAGAAAGGCACCAAGGCTCGAACCTCGAAGTACGACCCGTCAAAGTACTGCCACAACATCCGCAGGCTGGATCGGAACACTTCAGACGAGTTCACACCTGTGACCCAGCTCACCTGGGAGGTCCAGGGAGGGGATGATGACATTAGTAAGAAGAGGCGGGGGGAGTTCCCCCCCTTCGAGCTGCCCAGACCCAAGAAGAATCGAACAGATGCAGTAAAACTCTGTGATGTTTTGAACAGAAAAAGGTAATCCCGTAGATTCTTTAACTTTTTGTAAATTCAAGATTAACTCTGGACGTTTCTGTGGTACAGTCTGTTGATGCAAACACCAAACCTTAGTTTGACACTCAGCTGTGGCTGAGTGGTGAGAGCAGTCGTCCTCCAGTGCTTGAACTTGGGTTTGTGTGTGTGTGTGGGGGGGGGGGGGGGGTTGTTTGTTTGTTTGTTTTGTTTTTTTGTGGTGGTGTCTAGATGTGAAAAGTTGTGCTCTTCCCTAAAGGCCTTTAAACCTTTGAACAAACTTTGTATTTTTAGAAACCTTAAGTGTAAAACTAAGTGTTCCAGAATCCCAGCAAACCTGATCCATTACTACAAAGAAGGAGAGGGGGAGGGAGCAAGCAAGCAACCATGGTCTCAACCAAACAAGTTCTCAACCAACCAACAAGGTTCTCAACCAAACAAGGTTTCCAACCAAGATCTCGATCAACAAAGAGCTCAGTCAATCAACCAACCAAGATCTCAACAAAGATCTTAATCAACCAACCAGCCAAAGTCCCAACCAACCCAAGTTCTCCCCCAACCAAACAAGGTCTCAACCAACCAAGATCACAGTCAAACAAGATCTCAACCAACCAACAAATATCTCAACCAACCAGCCAAGCTCTCGTCCAAATAACCAAGATTTTAATTTGCCGTTTCTTTTTTCTCCAGCCTGTTATTAAGATACTAACTCTGTTATGTTGATGTTGGAACTGACTCGTGACCAACTGGACAACCAACTGTGGCCAAGTGGTTAGAGCAGTTGTCCTCCAGTGTGAGAGTTGGGGGGTCGATTCCACCAGCAGTCACATGCTGAAGTGTCCCTGGGCAAGACACTGAACCCCTCATTGCCTCCGATGTGTCTCATCGATGTATGAATGTGACATGGCTCTGATTATTCTTTGTAGAGATCTAGTATAGAGCTGTATGAATGGGTAAATGAGGCACAGATTGTTGTAAAGAGCTTTGAGTGTCTTGATAAGATAGAAAGGTTCTGTATAAGTAGTCCTTTTACCATAATGTGTCCTTCATTGTTGACTTGATCTGTGTCCAGACTCTCAGACCCTGAATCAAACATTTAATTATCGATCAGGGATGTGGACCAACATTTGATTAAATTTAGGTTCAATCTGAGACTCGTTTAAAACAGTTTCAGAATTAGAACAAACTAAATATTTTTGTTGTTTTGTGTTTTCCGTGTCGTCTTCAGATTTGAGCAGCCCGTTAGTTCTGCCGATCACGCTGAAGTCCATCGGCTCGCCAACGAATCAGAACCTCCGGCCAGTCACAGACCAGCTCCGTGGAAGAGAAGACGTTTTTCAGACAGCGACTCAGATGAAGAGATCCGCAGGCTGGTGGCAGATCAGCAGACCTCCCATAATGCACTGCAGCAGGAAGTGGAGGACGATAACGTGGAGGTGGTGGGAACCGACTACTTGGTCAAATCAGAACACAAAGGTAACAGACAGGTTTGAAACAGGAAGTGATCCAATTTTAGGAGTCTGAACGTTTTAACTGACTGTTGGATAAATGTGATGCAAGAGCTCCTGGACCTTTTTATATTTGAACCTTAAAACTGTTATTAACATTTAAAAAAACATAAAGTTAGGACAGAATGAACACTATCAACAGATGTTTGGACCACATGGACCCACAGAACCACATCAGCAGCTTATTGAACCTCATAGACCAGAGATTACTTTGGGAAACCTTTGTCAGGTTCTGCATTAAACTGAAGCCTGATGTGGACCCGGTCCAGAAGCTGCACTGACTCGTTGGGCTCCATTTGGGTCAAACCACCAGTGGACACCTGGATCAGATGGATCAGGTGTCCAGGTCTTCGTTAGAAGAAGGGATCAAAGAGGAAGAGAAGCTTCAGACTGTTGTCGGGAACAAAACCAAAAACCCGGTCCTGTGGTGGTTCTAGACTTTGATCAGGTTGAGCATTTCCACCAAGATGATGTAAAACCACATTCAGGTCACGTTCCAAAGGCTGAGGAAGAGGAGTGGGTGGGGGTTCTGGTCTGACCTGCAACCCGTTCTGTTGGGCCATATATCTGAAGCTCTTCATCACCTGGTCTCCTCTTCATCAAGTGTCTTTAAGTGATGAAGACAAACGTCACAAAGTAAGAAGAACCGGTAGCACATTTATTGGATGTTCTGAGTTAAAGTTGAAGAATGGGTGAAAAATAAAAACAAATAAAACTCATAAGCAAACAAATAAATATTAAATAAGTCGAAAAATACTTTGTCTCCAACTGCTGGGAGTGAAATAAAACAAAAACTTTTAAAATCTGTTAAAGTGTTTTGGTTTGTTTTTCTGTGACCGAACCAGAAGTTGTTCTTTGTGATTCCAGGTGATGAAGATGAGGATGACTACGACTCCGCCGACACGGATGAACTGTTTGCATCCAGAAGAAATCCTCGGGAGGAACTTTCAGCCCGAGCGGTCGGTCTCATTTCAGAAAACTCCACAGACGAGAAGACGGAGATGAAGAGGAGAAATAAATCTGCCGAGGAAGAGGAAGGAGGAAACATACTCCTCACCTCCTGCAGACCTTCATCTCCGCAGCAGGAGGTGAAACGATCTGCAGTCCTCCCTGTGCCAAAGCCCTCAGAGTCAGATGGTGATGAAGAGGAGGCTGAAGCATCTTCCTCGTCTTTAGATTCTGACTATGAAGCCATGTTTTCTAACACCACCCGTCTGGAGATCTCCATGGCTGATTTACAGAAGCTGGCTGAGACTGCATCTCCCACAATCCTCGGCTCCGGCTCTGAACGAGACATCGCTTTGAGCCCCGCAGAGCGAGCACCGCCCAAGAAAGGAACCACACCTGAGGAGATCCTGGCCTCCATCCTGGGGGAAGACAGCAGCGAGGACCAGGAGCAGCAGAAGAAGAAAAAGAGGAGGAAGAGGAGAGGAGTCACGTCAACGCCACTGCCCGCCTTCATGGGAACTAAATCACTGATGGAAACCTCAGGAGGAGACGAGGAAGAGGAGGGAGGAGGGAGGGATGTAAAACAACAGGAGCTGAACTCTGAGTCCAAACAGTCATCGGAAGAGGAGGAGGAGGTGAAGAACACTGCTTCACCTAAAGCTGCCAAAACTGATCTTCCTGAAGAGGAGGAGGAAGAGCCCCATCAGACTGTTTTCAACACTAAATCTGCAGCAGAGGATCAACCTTCATCCAACAGCTGCTCTGAGGAAGAGGAGGTGCAGATCAGTCCTGCAGCTCACAGCGAGGAGGAAGAGGAGGTGCAGATCAGTCCTGCTCACAGCGAGTCCTCGACCAGCGAGGAGGAAGAGGAGGTGCAG